ATTTCTATTGGAGAACGCATTCTATACTGCAGATGAGTACATCCGTGTTGCGTCACGAGTGTCTCCATAATACTAATTGGGAATTTATTTATTTATTTATTTACTTTTTTTTTACCTAATTTTTGTTTCAATGTTTGGTGTTTGTCTATCTGATAATTATGTTGCTCTCTATGAATGTTATTAGAATGTGTTTGATATTGTGACTTGCCATTTGTTGTTCTTGTAATGTATTTAATGGCCAATAAAGTCTAAAGTCTAAAGTCTAAAGTCTATTATTATTATTATTATTATTATTATTATTATTATTATTATTATTATTATTATCGAGTTCAGTGGTGTTCTGGTGGGCATCTTAGCAACAGATGAGGCAATTAAAAATTCAACTTTCCGGGTTTCTTTTCCATGTCAGTTTCTCGACTTTATTGCACCTGTTTTTTGTGGCTTAATTGGTTTTATTGTTTATTAAAATTTGTATGTTTTTTATATCAAGCAATTAAAAAGGAATTTTCTTCATATCTGGTTAAGTAAAAAAAAAAAACGAAAATGTGTCTCCAAATCACAAAAAAATCGTGTGGAATCATTTCAGTGGTTTTCAAAAACCAAAAAATTTTATTTAAAATTGATCAATGTTGAAAAAAACCTGTCAGTTGAGCATGTTCTTTTTTTAAATATTTTTTGCTAAGGTGTCCCCCGGGACACCACTGAGTGACTCAATAATATGGACCTATCTACAGCTAAATTAACATTCTTACCCTTAAATATTCAAAGTTTCAACAAAATCGGATAAATTATATGCCGATCTAGAGTGCGGGAAGGGTCACTTTCCCACGTGAGCTTCTTGTCCCACTGATACAAGCCACTTCGGACATTTCCGGGATTTGGGTTTGGGAGCAATCGCATGTTTTCGGAGATATTTCCAACGCTTTGAATTTTGACGTTTGTCAATTCTGACGGTCATGTCAGCGAATGTATTCGTGTTGTTTTGCGAAAATGTAGCCAAAAACTAACGGTCTTAGAAAAAGTATAGTATGCAACATGTTTGGTAAACTTTTTAAGTCACTAGTTTAATCAACACACGCTGCGTTGCGCTCCGCTCGTGCTAAATAAACTCGTAACTCAAATGTAGTTTATCGCACTTGCTGCATAATATACTATTTTAAATTTTTATAAACCATAACCCATATCTTAAAAACGGTGCACTTCGGGACCTTATATGTCAGAAAATGAGACTGAGCAAATATCTAGGATATCGTGCGTTCGCTTGTTGAACTCCGACTGGAATTCTGTGAGCATTGAAGGAAACGTCTGCAGGATTCCAGTCGGAGTTCAACAAGCGCACGGATGATGTCCTTTCAACATATACGTAAATGAATACGTGGAAGAGTATTCTTCGTATTTCTTCATTCTGGTCAGTCCACAATATCTTCTCCAAAACATCTTTTTGGTGGTCAGAATTTTTTTTCGATTTGTTTTTGTTTATGATCTGCTGCGTATGTCATGATACTCTAAACCATTGTTTCATATATCAAGGATTTAGTTTTTTTCCTGATATTTCTGTGCCAGAGGAGTTCAGTTACTCCTTGGTCGAAATAACAAAAAAAGGCCCAGTGTCCGAAAACTTTACAAATTATTTATATTTTTTCTCTCTTCCCTTCTTTCTCTTTTTCCACATATGGATTGTTCCTACAGGTCCACAATTTTATTAAAACTTCCGAAGGAATCAGCAAGTTCAATTTCAGAATTATTCAAATAAAATTGAATTGATGATATTTAGTTTATTAATACTTTTCTTTCCCCTTATAGTTTTTATGTTATAACGTAGTTCATAACTATTTTGTTACATGTAAGATAAGAGTAAGTATGAACGAAAGTCTTATTTTAAATAAAAAGAACATGTTTTTGTTTATTTTTTAAAATGGCGAAAATTTCAAAATTAAATAAAAACGCACCTCTTTGGGTCAAAATAAGAATGTTAGAACCTCTGGGAGGAAGAGCATAAAATTGTTGTAAAAAAGGTCCAGGAAGACCAGTTATGGGAAACTTTGAAGGACATGTATTTTTTCTGGACAAAGCCAAACTGCAAAATGAAAGCCAATGAAGCGATGAAATAGTTTGTTGGTGAAGAAAATACTTGGAACATACTTATAACGCAAAAATAAAAAACTTAGACTTCGACATATGGCTGTTGCACATTCTCTAAGCTAATTCGCTACTACCGCAAAAATAAGTCCTCTTCCATTACTTTCGTTGCTGTTTCCTTTAAAGAGGCCTTTATCTGGATAAAACAGGCGAAAACAAGACATCAGCCGACGCGAAAATTAATGAAAATTATCCATACCGTCAGTCCGACCTGTATCATTCTATTGCCGGTAAGCACGCCATCATCGTGCAGGGTCGAAACTGAGATTTTAACTTGAAAATTTGTTCTAAAATGTGGACCCGATCGATGACGGGTTTCTTGGTTCAATTTCCAGCTCGCCATTGTTCGTCGGTGGAAATCTAACGGCTTTCCAGTTAGAGTAATTTTTTTCAACAGATTGACAATTCGTTCTTTGTAACTGACGCCAAATGCCGCCCCTGGCTTACACGCTCTCGTAATTAACATGGTAATTTAGGGGCGTTATATTGGCAACGTAAACGTCTCGGTGGCGTGTAGTGGCTAGCCCGGCTTGTTCGCGTCAGCTCGCACGCCTAGTTTCCCTCGGATAATTGAGGAACATTGAAATTGATTGTAAGCACATTCGCGAATTGTCGGGGCCCACCTTTCTTTTAAATGGTATAAAGTTGAAAACTCAAAGCGATAATTTCAATACAACAACATCAGAACTAAACTTAAGGTCAGTCAAAAAAATATTTTTTTGTAAAATGGCTGCCTGATGAACCAACTCTCTCGTAGACAAACGTTAGTTGACACCGGAATGTATTGTATTATCTAAACTTAAATACTTTTGCCATATTTTGGAAACTAATTTCGTTGACTCTAGGATTTGATCCAATAATCTTAATAACTTTTTATTTTTTCCACACCCAAGGCTATCTGTCTTCATTTTCTGGCCTGTCAACAATTTCTGTGTAAATTTCTTCTTCGTTTTTCATTTTTTATTTTACTGTTTCTAATTTAAAGTTTTTTTCTTCGACCATTGTTTTATTTTCTTTGGGCGCACCACTTAATGTCGCAATTTTTTTTGTAAATTATAATCTCAAACAACAATTACGACCAAAAAAGTGTTTTTCACGATATCCTGACAAGGATGCAACAGAGCAATATCAACACGCAAGAGACAGTTATCGAAACCTTTCAGTCTAGTGTTACTAATTTCGAGGAGATTCAAAGGTATTTAAAATTTTGCGCCGACATTAACAATAACCAATCTCATAAGTCTGTAAACATAAATGTAAACGGAATGTGTAAAACTTACTTTTCATTTGAACATCAAACCCTAAGGCACCTGGAATCTGAATATCTGAGGCAGTTTCTGTCCATCCTTATAGCACCAGGTATATTAATAGTTTACAATGCTATATGGGTTTGGGTTGATTGTACTATCCGCCTTTAACAGGTTCGGGCCTGTATTCTAAGTAGTCTTCTATAATTGAATTCTTTGACTATATTGGGGTCTTTATACAGTTCGTGGAGTTCTTTGTTTGTTCTGATTCTTCTTCTTGGTGCAACGACATCCAGTATTGGGTCATAAATCTTTTTCAGCACTTCTTCCTCTATAGAACAGTGCGTTCCTTCGCCTTTTACTTTGCTTACTTATTGTTTTTTTTTTTTGTTTTCATAGTTTTGATCATTCTATAGTTGGGTTGTGCCACAATGCTTTAGTTTGTGCAAATCTTTTTTTGGAATGTCTTCTAACTATTGCATTGATCTGATCGCATTTTTTGTACTGTAACTATTGATATGACAAATAAAAATATATTATTTATCTCAAATAGCTCGGATGAACAGGGAATTTCCCTCAAATGCTTAGACAAACAGAAATTGCACCATGTTTTAGGAAAGGAGTACGTGAGAATCTGGAAAATTACAGACCCATTACACTTTTAAGCATTTTTTCTTAAATATTCGAAAAGGCACGGATTTAGAAGAGGCTATTCGACAGAAAGTGCTAGCGACGACATAACCCCTAAACCTAACTTTTTAATTGTATGGACAATGGTTCTATTTTTTGACTTTACGCGTCCCTTCGATAGCGTAGATCCTAAATTTGTAGCAGTAAATTTTGATATGCTAAGGACAAGAGGTACTATAAATCACATTTATCAATATTTCTTGATAGATAGGTCTTTTTAAGAGTCATCATGAGTTCTACAACAAATATCCTTTGCATTTTGGTTGTTAGTTATTTAACCTACCACTAAATCAATTAAGACTGTTGTGCATCAACAAATAGTTTGAAGTAAAATTTGAAAGAAAACTACTTTTTAGCAACACATTATACAGACTCAACGAGTTTGAAGCTTTTATGAAGATTGATAAATAGAAAGTCATTTATATTTTAAGCTTTTAATGTTTTTGACTCTGTAATTTTTTTGCATCTGTCTTGTTGTTTTATTGATAGTGTTTATAGGTTTATTTGTTCATGTTTAAGTGAATTGATTTGTTTTGGTTATAACCTAGTTCATTTTTACTATTTTATTTGTTCTTGTGGTTTTATCCACTTACCCGACTTTTATTAAAATTAACTTAAAATAACTACGATTGCTGATTGATTTTTTTGTTTTTATTTTAACGCACAAAGAGGCATTAATACTTATTAATTAATATAATACCACGCCCGCCCCATAATGAAAATATTTACTTATAAAACAAACCTTCCTTGCATCACTGAGCTGCTCGGAGATCACTGTTATCCAGTGAAATAAAGTCAGCTTAGAATGTTACTGACATGTTGAAATGCTTCTATATAACGTCCTTCCCAACGACAACAAGTATTACTTTTTGTTTATTCCGAGCAATTAGAGCTATCCTATAAGTCGTAATTATTTCAACTCACAGCCACACGGCTCTCCTTGAGCTCCAGCCTCATCGCCAGAGCCTCCCTCATAAACACGTCCGGGTAGTGGCTCGTCAGGAAAGCCCTCTCCAATTCCTCCAGCTGCCAGCTGTTGAAGTTCGTCCTGCTCCTCCTGCGTTTAGAGGCCGCGGACTCGGAATCGGCCTCGCCGCTGCTGCCAGCGCCACCTGCGGCAAAAAAAGGAAACGCGCTCAAAACCATCCGCCGTGAAACCGACTCTCTCCCCACAACAACGCGACGGAATCCAATAATCCGTTATTAACTTTACACCCTCTTATAATCCAATCAAATCCGAATCTCCGGAACATCAACAACAAGCTATTTACCACCGCAGACGGCGGCGAGGTGGGGGCGAGCTTAGACCCCCCCGAGACGGAGGGAGGTTTTTATTTGCCAATGATTTATTTTCGGTATTAAGCCACTCTAACTGAGCCGACCTTTTGATTTGCTCCATACAATAATAATAGAGCCGGGCGGCTGAACGAGCCCCGTGGGAGTGATATCTCAGGCTCGGTGGGGTGCAAGGGGGGCGCGGGCGCCCTTCTCAATTTGACGCCACATTATATTCGGCGCTTTGGTTAAAGTTTTCGGTGGCTGCGACGTCAGGGTACCGGGGGTGAGTAGCGACGGTGTTGGGTCGGGAGCCCTGTTTGCCCGCGTCGGTGCTTTTTAATTTTTTTTTAAGGGGACGCAAACGGGGTTTCGGGGTTCTTAGCGCGCGTTTTATACCTGAACACAGAGACTCTGTAAATACAGCTCCTACTCAATATCAGTAAAATTGCAAAAATACAATGAGACCGTAATATAAATGCGAATCAATAAAAACAAATTAATTAAAATTGGAATTAGAATATTGTTGGGACCATTAGTATTTCAACCTATTCAATAGCAAAATATCTAGCTTCTATATTAAAGGGACAACTGATATTTTCGTACTTAATACCTTTTACTTCATAGAATAATTAAAAACGATCCGATTAGTTTGGACATAGGCCCTCTTTACTAATGTTTGCAACATTGTTTCAGATATATTAAAATTGAGAATCTGGAATCAGACCTCATCTTAAATGAAACCAATCAACCGCTTATCTCAAATATTGTATGGAAGCTTTTGAGAAGAAAACTTTCGACACTTTCCATCTAAAACCAAACCTAATTGCCGTAGACATGCAAAACAGGTACGGATGTTTTTTATTAGCAAATATATTGGATAATTTAATTTTGTTAGTTTAAAATTGAATGATATATTTTGTTAAGGCCTTTATCATCGGCTTTGTAATTAATTGTTTTTTTGTTTTTTTGGATTTCTTCATAAAGTTCTATTTTTTTGGTGTTAGGTTCTGTTAGTAGCATTTTAACTTTTTCAAAATTGAATGTGTGTTTGGTGTTGTCACAATGGGTATTTATTTTTTTGTCATACTTATGTCCGTTTATTCTATTTTTGAAATACTGGTTTGTTTGTCCTATATACACAGTGTCGCAATAAGAGCACGATATAGGGATAAGTCTAAAAAGTTAATAATATTGCGATTATCAATTTCAAGCGTGAATTGTAATTTTTTGTGGAAGTTATTTCTTTCAATAATTTCCACAAAAAATTACAATTCACACGATTTATGATGAACTAAGGAACAAGAGAAGATCAAAGCCGAAGAATAATTGAAGATTCACGATAAATTCAAATTAGAGAGGAGAAACCTTATAACAAAAAAATATTTTGCAGGCAGAGAACCATTATATCTAATTTTCTTTGACTTTGCTCAGCTAGATCAGCGGTTTCTCGAGCTTGATATCAAAGTTGTGTCATCGGCGAATAAGATACCACCACCCATTGACATAGATAAATAATTTGTAAATATCAGAAACAGTGCCGGTCCCAGTACCGAGCCCTGAGGCACTCCGCTAAGGCGGTAATAAGGCGAGACAGTGTTATCAACTACCACATCTCATATCCGTCCATTAATTCCAATGAGCCTCTCCGTACACAATAAAATGTCAATTTATTCAATAAAGTATCAACAGCTCACAGCATTAGTCAGATCACAGGTACAGGTACTTCACCGTTGACCTGTATTCTTTGAAGCGAATATAAATGTTTATTTTTAAAATCGATAAGGAGTCTCTTCTTAATCAATCAGAAACTTGATTGATTGATATACCGGGCGACACAAGAAAGTGGGAACACTCTATAACTTTTAAACGGCTTGAGATAGCGATTTAAAAAATACTGTTAATTTTTTAGGATAACCCAGTTTTTTCAAATATCAGCAAAATTTTTAAAATCCGTTAAAAATAAGCTCACAGGAAGGAAAAAACTAGATAAGTAAATACATTTTTAGAAAAATCAAAGTATTACGATGTCCCGCATATCGTGCTGCATACGATGCACGGGCCTGTTGAGATTTTTGTAAATTGATTATTGATTTCCATGATAATCCAAATCGATAACACGACAAAAACGATAATCAGAGAAAAATGTACAAACTGTCAGAATTTTCAATCATGCCGACTCGATTATGAATAGAAGCAAAGTCACCTAAGTAACATTTTGTTTTTATAAAAATGTATTTACTTAAAATGTATTACTTATCTATTTTTTAACGGATTTTGAAAATTTTGGTGTCAGAATATTGCAAAAAAACTACCGGTTTCAAAAAGTTTTTCTTCCCACTAGGGTGCTATTTGAAAAAACTAGGTTATCCTAAAAAATTCATAATTCATTACATTAAATGCTATTTGGCATTAGACAAATAAAGAAAAGTTGACTACTAATTTTAGCTGAGAAGGAAAACCAAGTCACGTATACACTTGCTAATGACTAAGCTTAATGGTTTTGTTAGAAAATCGATCGATTGTCTCTTTAAGGATTCGACTATCCGTTCCGTAAAAATCAAAAGATCAGGTGTCATAAACCATGAAAAATCTGGTTTATCATTTATTTTAATACTAATTAATTAATTATTAATTAATAATAAATTAATGTTTATTCATAAAAAATAATAGCACGATCACAATCAAGTTTTCCAATAATAATGTGTCAAAAAAATACCTAAACAGTGCTGTGCCAATGGACGTATGTAGGTGTCATCAAATATGAGAAATATGGTTTATTGTCAATTTTAATTATTTATAATAAATTAATGTTTATTCATAAAAAAAAATAATCGCACTATCACAATCAAGTTTCCTAATAATAGTACGAATGTGTCATAAAATATGAGTAATATGGTTTATAATTGATTTGATATATAAAATATTATCGCAGGATCACAATCAAGTGTTACAATAATAATGTGCCAGTGTACGTACCGAGTGACAGAATCAATTTAAATTTGGCGCCATGATCTCAACTAGCCGTCGCGTTCTGATTGGTCGGCGTAGTTAGAAAATTAACGCATGCTAGAGAATAAACGCAAAAAGTCGTCTGACCATCGGAATAGTCGACAAATCCAAGCATAATCCGCCAAAACTATTACGCCCGACTAATGACACGCTACTAAAGGTAATCGTTACAAATTGATAAAGGTCCCGAATTAACAGTCGAACGTCGTTGATTTGTTGCCAATGTTCGCGACCGTAATGGCGGACCTGACCAATCGGGGCACCCGAACCTAACTACACCCGTAAATCAGGTTAACAATTGAAAGCGATTCAATTGCCCGTTCCAGCAAATTGTGAATTGCGTCGCGGCGCCCTGCCGTTCTGCGTCGGCTTTAGCGTTAAAATCCGATTCGAATATACGTCGATCGGATTTGGGATTATTTGAGGGTCCGTTTTGCTGCGGGGAGTGGTGGGGCGTTATATTGGAAAACGGTTGTTCACTTTTTGTTTAATAGTTCGTTTCTTGTTTCTAGACTTAAATTTATAAAAATTAGTATACGGGGGTTTCTAATTAGGCTGGATACAAGAGTCACATAAGCGACGTTGTCAAATATATGTTTTTTCCCTAAGTTACCAAATTTTCTTTTTTCTAATTTTAAAATTTAAAGTATTTTTCATTTTTTGCAAGTCTGGCAAAAATCGAAAATAATTAATGATATAATCAATTTAATCAATAAACACAAAGTTACTTTGTCAGCGACATAATTAATGATTTTAACGAACTGAAAAACTTATATTAACAATAAAAACTATTTAAAAATAAAAGTAAAAAGGTACTTATTTTAATGTATGCGGAAATTATAGTCCTGCCCTAAGTGGTTTGCAAATTCCCAGTTCATTTGGGAACATTTGATACAGGTATACTTGCACCAGAAATATAGTGCTTTTACAACTTAACTTTGATTGTGATTAACTTTGCTCACTGTTTATTACTCCAAAGCGGCAGCCCCTTAAAGAACACCCTGCCGACCAGACTCTTACCCGTAACCATTCCAGGATTGTCCTAGGAATTTATCAATCCGCAATAACAAACGGGATATCAGTATGTTTTCAATTTTTTCGTCGAGCAATTCTTGACATGTGCATAAAATTTCCACAATAATATACAAATATTAAATATAATAATAATAATCAATAACTTAAAAAATCGTCACTATCCCTAGTGTCGTCATTTAGTTCAATGATCAACTCCGCCACTAATCGTTCCCGATAAATATTTTCTTCTTTTATTACTCGTTTTTCATAGTTAGATCAGCTTTGTATTGATATTTTAGCTACCTCTTGCCGAATTACTATGATACTATCACTAAAATTTGGTGCGGTGTTATTTCTTCTTATATGCGCTTTCAACTAAGACGAAATCATTTCAATCGGGTTAAATATACAATGATACGGGGTAATCTTTTGTAGTCTTTATTAAAATGTTATATTTTTAATAATTCCAGAGATTGCTTCCATTTTCTTAAAAAAAGTACGCAACGGCTCTTTGCTCAGCTAATGTTTAAGTCTGTCACTAATTTTTAATGTAGTGCTTCCAGTGTTAAAACACTATTCACTTTGTAAGCGTCGTAGATTATACACCTAATTAGATCTGCGTGTTGTTTTTTTCTTACAGTTACCTTCGGAACTTTGGTCATGCCACTTGTTTTTACTGCTGCTCCTACTCCCCCTTCTGAATTTTTAAATAAATCCTAAACATTGAAAACAATTTGTTTAGCATCCGAAGACAATTTGATCCGTTTTTTATTTGCTGAGGTAGTTCGTCTTCTAAATTGTCATTAGCTTT